CGGCCCAAGAAGCCCCCAAGATCGCCCAAGAGGCCCCCAAGAGAGCCCCCTGATGGCCCAAGTGGCCTCCAAGATGGCCCCTAGAGGGCCCCAAGACGGCCCAAGAGGCCTCCAACACGCCCAAGATGGCCTCCAAGACGCCCAAGATGGCCTCCAAGACGGCCCTGGAGCGCCCCAAGAGGGTCCCCCGTTGGCCCAGAAAGGCCCCCAAACGGCTCCCGACGGCGTCAGACGTGCCAGGAACCCACCAAGATGGCCGAAGTTGGCTCGAAGCTGGCCCAAAAGGGCCCAAGAGGCCCCCAAGAGGGCCTCCAGGAAGGCCAAAAGATGCCATTATCCCGGCAAAGCAACCTAACAGCGATGTGTAGAAGCATATCTGAAAGCATTCCCCTTAAGACTCAGATGAAAATCCAGTTGTCGAATTCTGCTGTTCTCGCAGTCGTAGTCGCATTCGCGATGACAGTCGCAGCGGCAACGGCAGTCGCAGTCACAGCCTCAGCCTCAGCCTGCCTCCTCCTCCTCCTCTTTTTCCTGCTCCTCCTCCTCCTCCTCCTCCTCCTCCTCCTCCTCCTCCTCTTCCTCCTGCTCGTCCTCGTTCTCGTCCTCCTCGTCTTGCTCGTCCTCCTCCTCCTGGTGCTCTCTCCTCCTCCTCCTCCTCCTCCTCCTCCTCCTCCTCCTCCTGGTGGTCCTCGTTCTCCTCCTCCTGGTGCTCTCCCCCCCCCTCCTCCTCGTCCTCCTCCTCCTCCTCCTCGTCCTCCTCCTCCTCTTCCTCCTCCTCCTCCTCCTCCTCCTCCTCCTCCTCCTCCTGGTAGTCCTCCCCCTCCCCTCCTCCTCCTCCTCCTCCTCTTCCTGGTCGTCCTCGTTCTCGTCCTCCTCGTCTTGCTCGTCCTCCTCCTCCTGGTGTTCTCTCCTCCTCCTCCTCCTCCTCCTCCTCCTCCTCCTCCTCCTCCTGGTGGTCCTCGTTCTCCTCCTCCTGGTACTCTCCCCCCCCCTCCTCCTCCTCCTCGTCCTCGTCCTCCTCCTCCTCCTCCTCCTCTTCCTCCTCCTCCTCCTCCTCCTCCTCCTCCTCCTCCTGGTACTCCTCCCCCTCCCCTCCTCCTCCTCCTCCTCTTCCTGGTCGTCCTCCTCCTCCTGGTCGTCCTCCTCCTCCTGCTCGTCCTCCTCCTCCTCCTGCTCGTCCTTCTTCTCCTGCTCCTCCTGCTCCTCGTCCTGCTCCTGCTCGTCCTCGTCCTCCTGGTCTTGCTCGTCCTCCTCCTCGTCGTGCTCTTGCCCCTGCTGAAAATGTGGCCCAGGAATGGGAGTTCTGGGAAGTCGAAGAGCACGAAGTGGCCTACAGTTGGCTCCGGGCATTCAAAATGTGGCCCGGGAATGGAGTTCTGGGAACTCGAAGAGCACGAAGTGGCCTACAGTTGGCTCCGGGCATTCAAAATGTGGCCCGGGAATGGAGTTCTGGGCTCGTGGCCTACAGTTGGCTCCGGGCATCCAAAATGTGGCCCGGGAATGGAATTCTGGGAACTCGAAGAGCACGAAGTGTGTGACTGTTGCATCCGGCCCTCCAGAATGTGGCCCGGGAATGGAGTTCTGGGAACTCGAAGAGCACGAAGTGTGTGACTGTTGCATCCGGTTATCCAGAATGTGGCCCGGGAATGGCGTTCTGGGATCTCGAAGAGCACGAAGTGTGTGACTGTTGCATCCGGGTATTCAGAATGTGGCCTGGGAATGGAGTTCTGGGAAGGCGAAGAGCACGAAGTGTGTGACTGTTGGTGAAAAACGAGCCCGGCACCTGCCGCCCGGCAACTCCCAACACCTGCCCGGACCCCCCTGTGGAGTGATCTGCTGCTCTCTTTTGATCCCACTAGAAACCTATCAGTCTTCGCTGTTAGGTAAAAATCACTGATTTTCCCAAGGTTTTTGATGGATTTGGGCATTTCCCTTTTTCGGCCTTCCGACGGCCCGAGACGGCCCAAGAGCCCCCAAAGATCGCCGAAAGATCGCCCAAGAGGCCTCCAAGACGGCGACGATGACCATCAAGACGCCCACGTGTTCCCCGAAGGCTTTCCAAACCGATTCGGGGAACACATGGTCCGATGGCTTGGCAGGTCTGGCCTCAACGTTCGGCCACATAGGCGCTTCCACAAAGGCAGGGGGCGGCGGTGATTCGCTAGGCGTCTTCGATCCGCCGCCCCCTGCTTGCAGGGGTGCACGGCGTGCTGGATGTTTCAGGTTTTGGTGTTGGTTCTTTTTCTAAAAGAACTCCCCAATGGGCTTCGGCCCGTCCCGCCGGCCACCCGTAATTTTCCCAAAATCCGTCTGTCAATGCCTTTGTTGCCCCAACTTGGCCCAAGATGGCCTCCAAGACGGCCAAGATGGCCCAAGATGGCCTCCAAGATGCCTCCCAGACGGCCAAGATGGCCTCCAAGACGGGTAAGATGGCTCCAAGATGCCTCCAAGACGGCCCAAGATGCCCTCCAAGACGGCCAAGATGGCCCCAAGATGCCTCCAAGATGGCCCAAGAGGCCTCCAAGACGTTCTCCAGGAGAGCCCGAAGAGGCCAAAATCATTGGTTTTCCTTAGGTTTTTGAAGGTTTTTTGCGTTTTCTTCTTTTCGGCCTTCCGACGGCCCAAGAGGCCCCCAAGATCGCCCAAGAGGCCTCCAAGAAGGCCCTATGACGGCCCAAGGGCCCCCCAAGACGGCCCCAAGAGCGCCCCAAGACGGCCCAAGAGGCCTCCAAGACGCCCAACATGGCCTCCAAGACGGCCCTGAAGCGCCCCAAGAGGGCCCCAAGACGGCCCAGAGAGGCCCCCAAGACGGCTCCAGACGGCGTCAGACGGACCAGGAACGCCCTAAGACGGCCAAAGAGACCCCCAGGAAGCCCCCAAAGGCCCCCAAGAGGCCCAAGGAGGCCCCCAAGATGCCTCCAAGAGGCCTCGAAGAGGCCCCCAAGAAGCCCCCAACAGACCCCAAGGGTGCCCCAAGAGACTCCTAACAACCCTCATCCTCCTACTCTATTTCTTCCTCTTCCTCTTCCTGTTCATAATCATTCTCTCCCATGTGTTCCCCGAAAGCTTTCCAAACCGACTCGGGGAACTCATGGTCCGATAGCTTGGCCAAGCTCTAGTCCAACTTTCGGCCACATCGGCGTTTCCAAAAAGGCAGGGGGCGGCGGTGATTCGCCGTAGGCGTCTTCGATAGAGCACCTGCCCAGCCTGCTGTGTGCACAATGGGCTTCGGCCCGTCCCGCCGGCCACCCGTAATTTTCCCAAAATCCGTCTGTCAATGCCTTTGTTGCCCCAACTTGGCCCAAGATGGCCTCCAAGACGGCCAAGATGGCCCAAGATGGCCTCCAAGATGCCTCCCAGACGGCCAAGATGGCCTCCAAGACGGGTAAGATGGCTCCAAGATGCCTCCAAGACGGCCCAAGATGCCCTCCAAGACGGCCAAGATGGCCCCAAGATGCCTCCAAGATGGCCCAAGAGGCCTCCAAGACGTTCTCCAGGAGAGCCCGAAGAGGCCAAAATCATTGGTTTTCCTTAGGTTTTTGAAGGTTTTTTGCGTTTTCTTCTTTTCGGCCTTCCGACGGCCCAAGAGGCCCCCAAGATCGCCCAAGAGGCCTCCAAGAAGGCCCTATGACGGCCCAAGGGCCCCCCAAGACGGCCCCAAGAGCGCCCCAAGACGGCCCAAGAGGCCTCCAAGACGCCCAACATGGCCTCCAAGACGGCCCTGAAGCGCCCCAAGAGGGCCCCAAGACGGCCCAGAGAGGCCCCCAAGACGGCTCCAGACGGCGTCAGACGGACCAGGAACGCCCTAAGACGGCCAAAGAGACCCCCAGGAAGCCCCCAAAGGCCCCCAAGAGGCCCAAGGAGGCCCCCAAGATGCCTCCAAGAGGCCTCGAAGAGGCCCCCAAGAAGCCCCCAACAGACCCCAAGGGTGCCCCAAGAGACTCCTAACAACCCTCATCCTCCTACTCTATTTCTTCCTCTTCCTCTTCCTGTTCATAATCATTCTCTCCCATGTGTTCCCCGAAAGCTTTCCAAACCGACTCGGGGAACTCATGGTCCGATAGCTTGGCCAAGCTCTAGTCCAACTTTCGGCCACATCGGCGTTTCCAAAAAGGCAGGGGGCGGCGGTGATTCGCCGTAGGCGTCTTCGATAGAGCACCTGCCCAGCCTGCTGTGTGCACTGCAGGGTTCCCCTCTCTCCGCTCAGCCGCGACGCTGGCTCCCGCCTGCGTGCTGTGCGCGGCGCCCCCCCGGGCGGCCGCAGGAACCACTGCTTGCTGCCCCGCAGCAGCGCCAGCCAGGCCTCCTCGAGACTGCGCTTTTAAATTGCTTCCGGTGATGGTCGTTCCCCGGAGGGGACAAGCCCAAACCCCCTCGCGTTGCGCAAAAATCACGACGGAAGATGTTTCGCTGTGTTCGGCCTCCAGGGGCCCCTTCCCGGGCCACGGGACCGTGAAAAAACGCGTCGGGATGAAAAATTCCGTCCCGGGGAAGGGGTCGGGACTGCCGGGGGCCCCGTGTTGAAAAAATCAGGACGTCGCATGTCTGGGTTCCCCGGGGGGGGGGCAAGTGAGAGGAAGAGAAAGCGACTATGGGTCTCAACTCAGGTGCTTGTGCACGGCACTGCAGGACTGCAGCAACACCCCACGTCGCCTCGCAGCTCGAGCGCGTGGTGTCAAATCGCTGCAGAAAGGACGGCGTAAACAGATGATGTTTTCCAAATTTCCGACGCTGGTCGTTGCCCAGGGGGGGGGAGCGGCGGCGGCGGGCGACACGGGGCTGGGGTCACGGTAACGCTTGGGCGGGGTGTGCCACAGCATCGGGGCAGGGGCGCGCTGCGGTCGCCATGGCATGCGGGCGAGCACCAGTACTTCTGTGCGGGGGGTCCAAAGCCCCCCCCCCCCAGTACCATCGTTTACCGCTGCCCAGGGGGCGCGCGGGGAGGGCGTTGGCCCAGGTAACGGCCGTTCTGCGCCAGGCGATAGGAAAAGCAGAATCTCCTCGTGCTGGTGGAAGGGCAGGCCCTCGTCCGCGCGCCCGATGCTGAGGACGGGGTAGAGCTGCACCGCCCGCAGCAGCGGCGGCGGCTCTCGCACGACGCCCAGCGCCCGGAGCCGCACCATAGCGGCGTCGGACGCCGAGGTGCTGAACACAACGGTGGCGTCCTGGCCGTCCTCTCGCTCGTCGCCCGCGCTCGAATCCCACCGGCCTTCTCTGGGCGCAAGCGGCTTCAGGGCGCCATCTCTACCGAAACAGCGCCTGGCCATCTGGGGAGAGGTCTGCCCCTCCCTCCACTCTGCACCCTCTCCTCAGGTGGTCCGAGCTTCCATGGTCGCAGGCAGCTGTAGCGCCCACGATGGCCCAAGATGACGTCAAGATGCTTCCAGATAGCCCAGAAAGATTGCCTCCAAGATGAATAAAATAAATAAAACGCCAAAAACATAAACTTTTGGCGCTCCGCGCAGATTTTTGGGATCGGCGCTGGACCCCCCTCCCTGGCGCGCGGGGCGCGCCAGGGGCGGCGCTGGAGGCGCCGCCAGGGGCGCCCAGCGCGGATCCAAGAAATCCGCGCGGAACGCCAAAAGTTTATGTTTCTAGCGTTTTTCTTCCTCGAAGGAAACAGGGTGGCCTAAGAGGGCCCAGAGCCTCCCAGTGATGCACCCGGGGACTCGAGTCATTCCAACAGCCTGACGCTGCTCCACGATGGTTGCTGCTCACGGGAACCAAGGGGGGCGCCCAGAGCGCCCCGCAAAGGCTCCCAAGAGGTTCTGAAGTCCCAGGGTAGCCCCAAGAAGCTGGTATTCTCTTGCACAGCTGTGTTCTCGAGCTCGGACCTCCTTATTTTCGTCGTCGTCGTCGTTCGTTCGCTCGTCGTTCGTCCTCCCCCCCCCGTCGTTCGTTCGTCGTTCGTCCTCCTGTCCCTTGCAGCTCCTTGGTGCAAGATCCAGGGCACGCGTGCCACTCATTCGGATCCCCAGAGGGGGGCCCATCAAGGATCCTCAGTTGTTCGGTCGACTCCAGCCTGGTCCCAAACTGCCAGAAGAGCGCCGAGCGAGCCCCGAAGTAGGCTTCGAGTCCCCCAAATGGGCCCAGCTCGGCCATTCAGCGTGAGAAAAAGACTTGCGGTGAACTAAGCGAGCTCAAGTGAGCGAAACGATGGCTAAGCTACGATAGGCAAAGCTACGCTAAGCTGAGCAGTGCTGAGCCAGGCTGAGCTTAGCACTTGGCTCGGTCAAGATACGCTCTACCCAAAACAGGCAACGCGAATCAAGGCTAAGCTGCGCTACCTTATTCGATTCACATGGGCGCATGTACGCTCTCTTGGCGGCTTGGCACAGCTGACCCCTGCTTTGATCTGACAAGAGTGCCCCCCCTGCATCGCTCAGGCTCCTCCACACCCCTTCGGACGGCAGCTCGCCTGCGGAGGTTTGTCTTCCGCCCGGGCCGGTGGAAACGTAGCTTCCCTCCTCCAGCGAGGGGATGGCACCGCCGCGAACGCTTGAGCGCGACGCGCTCAGACGAGCGAACTGCACCCAGCCGTGCGGATGAGGCGCAAGCGGGAGACCGCAGGCTGGCGTGCCAGAGGGGCCGCGTCGAGCCCGACGCGGAAGAGGCGCACTCGCTGCAGGAGGCGCGGGCGGGCGGAAAAGCGCGCGAAGCGCCCAAGACTCGCCGAGGTAGGCCTCCCCGGGCACCTCCCGCGCCGCGCCGAGGGCGCCCCGGGCGGCCACGGCGGAGAGCCTCCTGGCGGGCAGCGGCACCCCGGCCAGGCGCTCCGCCCACTCCTCGGCGCTCCACGAGAAGCCGGGCCAGCCCTCGTCCACGAGGCCGTCGATCAGCACGGGCCGCCGGTGCGAGGCGGGGACGCGTCCACGACCGAGGCCGCTGCTCGCCACCCGTCCTGGAGAGAGCCCCACGTCGCCACGGCCGGACTCTCTCCTCGACCTGCTGGTCAGAGCGCACCTCCGGGGGGAGGTCTCCGGGGGAGTGGCGGCATCGGTGCCTGCTCACCCCAAGGACCACCGCCCAGGGGGTCGATCTTCGGGGACCTCGGCAGGCGGTGGATCTGTGGACGCGTCTGGCTCCCGCCCCATCCACCCTGGTCGGCCGCGAGCCCGGGGGGCCAAGTGAGAAGGGGCGGGCCTTCTCAGAAGGCTCGGAAGTCCCCTGGTCTTCTGAGAAGTCTTCAAGGCCTCCTCGGAAGGCAGAGGAAGCCTCTCAGAAGGCGCGAGGGCTTCTGAGAAGTCCCGCCGCCCTCTGAGAGGGCCTTCTCCTTCTCACTTCGCTCGCCGCCGACCTGGGGCCCGAGCACGCCCGTGCCCACACACCCTGCCGAGGGGTCCCCGAAGATCCGAGGGGTCCCCGAAGATCCGAGGGGTCCCCGAAGATCCACCCACTGGGCGGTGGTCACTGGGGTGACAGACAAGCCCCTGAGATCCGACGCAGCGAAACAACTGCAGCATCGTAAAAAATGATGCCCAGAGCCCTGGGCCACATCTTTCTGCTTCACTTTTCGAGCCAGGTCGATCTGTGAGGGTCCCGGGGCCCGGGAAAAAAACGCAAACGCCCAGGTCGAAAAGATGGAGACGCCAAGATCTCAGGGGTAGGTACCGATGCCGCTACTCCCAGGACCTCCCCCTGGGGTGCGTTCTGACCAAAAAATTACGAGGAGAATCCGAGGTGAATCCGGCCATGGCGACGAGGGCCCTCCAGGACGAGCAGCGGCACTAGTGCCCGAGTAAGGGATCGACTACAGAATCGATTTACCCCATTGGTTTTCTTGTCGAATCCATGGGAAATGCGTAGGACTTCGGTTCAACTACGAAATACGTATTCGTCTATAGATTCGGCATCACAACTAATTTTGGGATAAACCAATTCTGCAGTCGATCCCCTACTCGACCCTGGGGTGCGTTCTGACCAGAGTTCCGAGGAGAATCCGAGGAGAATCCGACCGTGGCGACGAGGGCCCTCCTGGACGAGCAGCGGCACCGGTGCCCCTGTCCCTCCCCCTGGGGGGTGTGGAGACAAGCCCCCGCCTCGGAGCTGGCTCCGCAGCTCCTTCGGAGATCGAGCAGGGGATCGACTACAGAATTGGCGCACCCCCAAATTTATTGTCTCGTCGAAAGTGGTTACGAAAAAGTGCGAAGAATGCTCGTAAACTATTCCAAGTATGTTTCGTTATATCGACGAGCAAATCAGTTTTGGGGTGAATGAATTCTATAGTCGATCCCCTACTCGAAGAAAGCAAATCACGGAAGCTTCTGGCCGTCACCATGGCGCCCAATAGCGCGCCCAGTCGCGCGCAAAGCGGACATGATGCATCTCCCTCACATGGCACTATTGTGCGCCAATTGCCGCGTTTGGGCGCTCTTGGAACGCTATTCGGCGCTACTGGGCGCTATTGGGCGCTGTTTGGTGCTATTTGGGCGCTATTGGGCACCGTTCGCCGATATATTTGATCCAAGACGAACGGAACCTTCCGTGTCAGACCCCCGACGTCGTGATTTTTTCACAGCGTCGACCCCCAAAGGTCTGGACCCCTTCCCCAGGACTGGTTTCTCGTCCTGAGCCGTTGTTTGACGGTCCCGAGGCCCAGAGAGGGCCCCCAGCAGCCGAAATGGCGAAAAAACTCCCGTCAAGATTTTTGTCACAACGAGACGTCTGGGTATCTGCGCTCCTCCAAGCGCTGCGCGGCGTCACTCTTACGTCTAGTCGATATCTGAGGAAACCTAAAGGCACCGATACCACTACTCCCCAGACCTCTCCCGGGGTGCGTTCTGACCAAAATTTCGAAGCAAATCCAGCGGTGGCGAAGAGGGCCTCTCAGGAGGCTCGCACAGGGGAAAACGAGGGAAGGGCAGAAGTTAAAGGCCTCGGAAGAAATTAGCGAACACTCATGCCACATTCATGTCTCAATGCTCCCCCCAATGATCCATGTTGGCGGTGGTTTGTTTGAGTTGCACTTCGACCGCAGCCTTCCCCGCGCGTGCGGAAATTGAGCTTTGGGAGGCGGGGGAGTGTCCACCGATTGTTTACCTCTACCGTATGGGCACCTTTTCTAGGATAACGGAAAATTGCATAAGCATAAAAAATCCGAGGTCCGCACGGATTTCTCGGATCGGTGCTGGACCCCCCTCCCTGGAGCGCGGAGCGCGCCAGGGGCGGCGCCAGAGGCGCCGCCAGGGCGATCCAGCGCCGATCCGAGAAATCCGCGCGGACCTCCGAGTTTTTTTTGTATGCTTATGTCAGCATTCGTTCTCATATGTTTTCTGCGCTCCTCGAAGCGCTGCGCGGCGTCCGGCGCCCGCGCGTCCAGCGTCGCCAGGTCGCACCGCGCCGCGCCCGCGCCGCCGCCCGCCGCCTCGGCGGGCCCGCCCGCGGCCAGCAGCGCCGCGAGCAGCGCCGAAAGCGGGGCGCCGGCCCCGCGCCCGCCGCAGCACTCGGGTCGGGCGAAAGGGGGGGATAGCAAAGGGGGGGTTTGAGAATCAGCTCACGTAGCTGATTTCCCCGGCGCCTCCCGGCGCCGGAGGCGGCCATGCATCGAGGAATGGGCCCCTCGGTGAGGCCGAAATCAGCTGCATGCAGCAAATTTCGTAACCCCCCCCTTTCCCAATCCCCCCCTTTCGCCCGACCCGACGAAAGCGGGGCGCCGGCCCCGCGCCCGCCGCAGCACATCGGCCTCGGGCGGGGCACGCCGGGGCGCCGCGGGTGCCGCCCAGGGGCGCGCCCGAGGCGGGCGGGGGGGGGCAAAAAAAGCCCCTCGAGGCGCGGGGAGGCATCGCGGCGGGGGGTGCTTTTCACTGTCCTTCGGCCTCCTGGGGGCCCTCACCGGGCCTCGGGACCGTCAGAAGACCCAGACCCCCTCGAGTAATGAAAAAATCATGACGGGAGGTTTTTCCTAATTTTCGGCCTCGGGGGGCCCTCACCGGGCCTCGGGAGTGTCAAAAAACGACTCAGGATGCAAAGCCGGTCATGGAGAAAGGGTCGGGACCTACGGGGGTCGACGTAATGAAAAAATCATTACGTCGGGGGTCTGGGGACGGCGCAGGATGAAAAACAGGCCCGAGGGAGTGGGTCGAGACCTCCAGGGTCGACGCTCTGACAAAAATCACGTCGGGGGGGGGGGTGCAGGCGCTGCTCTCATGCGGGGGTCCCAAAAAAATATCGTGCGGTGCCAGACCGCGCGGCTTGACCTCGCAACATCCCAGGAGGCCTCGTCGCCGCACGGTTTCTTGGGGGCCCCTGGGGCCCCAGTCGCTCGAGAGAGCCATCTTCGGAGAACGACTCGAATCCCAAAACCGCGCGGTGACCCCCAGTACCCCCACAGTGGCACACAGTCTAACTGGCATCAGGAGGTAGCACAATAGGTGTGGAGGTAGCAGGTAGCGATAGCACAGTAGGTGGTGTGGAGGTGGGAGGTACATTCAACCGGTGTAATAAGGATGCGCGGTAAGGATGCAAGGGCCTTGGAGGGCCACGTCAACGCATCTCGAACAAGGTCGGCCAGCGAAAGCGACCAAGGATGGACCGAGGAGGCAAGGATGCAAGGGTACCCTCAAGAACGTTGCGAATCCTTACTTTGCGGGTTGACTGTTGCGGAAACCCCACTGACTCACCACACAGTGTGGTCACCACACCTCATTTGCGGGCCCCGATTCATGGGGGGAGAGGGGAGGGGGGGGGGGGGGGGGGGAAAATCAGGAGACCGAAGAGAGGTTCACCGCTCGTGCACCATCGGGCCCCACGGGGCCCGTTTAGAGCCCCTTGCCCCTTGCCCGCAACCCTCAACCCCGCCCCCTCGTTCCCCAGTTGTGAGCAGTGGAGACCACCGCCACCGCAAGCTCACGGAAAAACCCAAGACGGGCGGGACTTCAAATCCATCGAGGCACGTCTCGCACATGCGCTGTCAACTCACTCTGCGTTGCGCGCAACGCAGGACTTTACGCACACCACGACCCTTCACACGCGGCCACATGCCGGGAAACGCCCGTGGGGGTAGCGAAGGGGGGCCGCCGTCAGGAGCCAAGATGGCTACGGCATGTCGGCAGGGGGGGGCCCACCATCGGTGAGATGTGTCCGGCGCCGCGGCGGCGCGCCTGACACGGCGTCCTCGGAGGCTCTGCCAGTGCATCCGAGATGGCTCGGCAGGTTGCAGGGGTCATTCCGACGACTGGTGAGATGTCCGATGCCGCGGCGGCACGCTTGAAGCACACGGTGCCCTCAGAGGCTCTGTTGGCGCAGTCGAGAAGGCTCAGCAGGTCACACGGCATAGCATTCTCTCGGCGCCGTCAGCGAGCAAAGTGGAGCTCTGCTGCTCCTATTCGAACGGAAGGAGGGGCCTGCAGAGATCGAGGTCAAAATTCGGATCACGTACAGCTGGACTGATTCAGCCGTGCGAGCCTTCCTTGGCTCCCGATGCCGAAACGCATCCATGTACGTCGTTGATCGATGACTGAGAAAACGAAATCCCACGACGGTCCGACGATGCTTCGTGGTGGCCTGCTTCCGAGCGTTCGACATGCTGCAAACGCCTGCGATGTTGAATACAATGTTTGCTGTTGCGCCTCTTTTGTTTCCCATGACCTCTGGTGCGTGCGTCAAGGTGGCCCCAAGATGTAGCACAAGAGGGCCCCCGGAAAGGCCAGAGAGGCCTCCAGAAGGCCCCGAAAAACGTCCCAGCGGGACGGGACCCGAAATGGGGGATCTACTGACCTGGGTCAAGGCGAACCCGGGTCAGTCAGGCCCTCGGCCTGCGCGATGCGTCGCTTTGGGAGTTTTGGGCCGCAGGCTCCAACCAGCAGGGAGAGGAGAAACCTCCTCAGCCTCCTCCTCCTCCGCCTCCTCCTCATCATCCTCCTCCTGCCCCTCCCCCTCGTCTACATCATCATCATCATCATC